CCCCAAAACCCCAAAACCCCAAAACCCCAAAACCCCTTTAAGGTTAATGAAAATTGAAAATTAAGGAGAGATAGGAGATTTAGGGATGTTTGGGGAGGAATGGAAATAGTGCCGAGGGAGTTTTTAGTGTGAGTGGCAAAATTTATTTTACTGTATGGGGATGCTTGAAGCAAATTGGGCTTGCTTATGTTTTGTTATCGATGAATCGTAATTAGAAAATCGTAAAAATACTATATTTATATTAATAGAATACTATTTTTCTACTCGGTTTTCGATAAAATTTAGAAAAATTCAAAATTGTAATTTTCTAAAGTTTTCTCTTAAACCAAGAAATATAAAAACTAACTCAGAACACCTTGTAAACTTTCTTCTCTAAGTAAAATCAAGACTCTGATCATTTTATTTATTAATAATTTTATAAAATATTACTTTTTCTCTTTTTATTCTTCTCTCAAGTATCCTTGTGGTGGCTCATCTTAATAAGATACTACTAAAATACTCTTACTTGCCAAGTCTATACAGCTTTGTTACTATCTTAAACTAAAACTAATAATAATTCTTGTAGATGGTTTAGGAGAATTGAAAGAGACAGGCTAGCCTACCCTCTCTTCCTCTCCAATCTCCTATTTTCCCAGATTCCTTCAGTACTTATAAATCTCCTCCTGTGGCTCCTCATTTAGACCCTCAGCCTCAGCTTACTTATCACAAACTGGTGCTGCACAGTCTTTAATAAGTACTCAGGCCCTCTTGTTCTTTTCTTCTGCCGGCTAAATCTGTTCCTGCTCTTCTTATTTCTACATAAGTTCAGTTTCTTCCTGGTTTTATAGAGAGTTTTGGAAAATGTGAGCAGGCGCCAATGAAAATTTTAGGAAATTTAAGCAAGAGTTTTGAGACTTTAGGAAGAAAATTGGAATTTCGGAGGAGACTGAAGGGGATTTTTAGGAAAAATGAGGGAGATTGAGGGGTTTACTTGGATAATGCCTTTTTTGAAACTGAATTTTGAGTAAGTTTGAGCCATTTTGGTTTGACTTATGCTTGAAAATTTTCTATTTCAGGTGCTTGTTTTTAAAGTAGAGCCTAAATCTGAACTTGGGTTTAGGCTCATCTTTGAGTTGAAACTAGAGCTTGATCTGATTATGGAGTTTGGGTTAAGAGAATTGGAAACTTTAGGAAAACTTTTCTTTCCAATTAAAAATGTTTGCCTTGGTAGCACATCAGTCATCAAGTTTGGTAAGTTTCTGACAATATTTCTAGAATTACCTTGCTTTCTTTAAAGCCTTTCTCTTCTTAAGAATACGAATTTTAGTTGATTTAATTGGGCCAGGAGGCAAATGGCCCTGGCTTTCAATTTTCTATTAAATTAGAAGAGAGCGTATTACTTTAGGTTTGAAGGTTTGTTGACTTCTGAGTTTGATTTCTCTATCAACCAATGAATTTAAACGTTTATTTAATATGCACTGAACTCAGTTTTTGCTTCTTTACAATCCTTTTGATTCTAAAGCACTTTAATTATACAAAATACATTTTCGGTGGTAATCTCGAAGCTTCAATCTTTTTATCACAGTCTGTCTCTACTCTTCCAGTAAATTCTTCCCCCAACTCTCGTCTACACCTTTATAAAACATCTCAACTTAACACATCCAACAGTCACCTAAAACCCCCAATCCCCCTCCTTCCCCTCCCCTCAATCCAAACCTACTCCACCAAATTCCTCATTTTCTCCAATTCCATTCTCTCTCTCCTCACCCTGACCATCATCTCCATCAGACTCTTCCCATTTTCTTCTACACAAAACTCTTAAAAGCCCACTTTAGCCCCTAATTTTTGCTAAAACTCCACTCCTTTATGTACAGCCCCACCTCTTTTCCTGAAATTTCCTTCTTGTCCTTCAGGAGTCTTAGAAGCCTTTGCTTAGGAATTCTGGACATGGCTTCGACTGTAGAGGCAGAGGTTTTGGTAGAGGAAGAAAGGTGGTTAGGGAGGAAAGGGGGAAATATGTGGTTTAGGGGATTTTTAAGGATTTTTTTGGGAATTAGGGAAAAATGTTGATGCGTACAAAAATAAATGGGGAGGAAGGGATGGGATAATAAAGGGAGGAAAATTGTTTTAGGAATAATTAAAAAATTGGTGAGTTAGATAATTTTATGCTGAAGTAATCATATTAAACTGATTAATCTAGCATAGATAGATCTCTTCAATAACAATGCAATATTAAATTTAAACAACTTATAAATAACATTAGGCATTTTAAACATACCTGAACTTTTGGTTGCAATCATTATTCTTCTGATCCCCAAAATATTGTCCCCTTTAGTACATACTTGTGAACCCATAAACGGAAAAGGCCCCATCATAACTCCTATTAATATCAGCTCATCTCTCTCACTCCTTACCTTGGTCCATCTCCAGCAAACACACATCATCGATACCGCCCAAGTCTGAGTGCAAAGGACTTTTGCAGGCTATTTCTTCCATCTTAATTATAAATCACTATTTTCCAAATATAAACTTTATCCCACGGGGTTTTGGGGTTTTGGGGTTTTGGGGTTTTGGGG